TCTCTTTCTCCTCCACTACTTTCCTCAAGGTGAGGAAGTTAGTAAATAACCTCCACCACGTCCTCCACGATGTTCCTGGGACATACGGTCCTGGAGGCCTCCCTCGATAAGCCTCCAGCGTTCCGCCGTCCATCAACACCGTAGGTCCACTGGTGGCGGTCCACATTTTACCGTCCTTGCCGTCGACTCCAAAAACAGATTCCATCTTCTTTCGTCCTTCTTCACTCCTTCGGCTGGTGTCGACAGCTGCGGTTCTTCTTGGTAGTCGCTGTTAGTTCGTCCTGATCGCCAGTAAAGACGACAGAACAGTGGAGTTGAGAATGTTTATTACTACCCCAGGGGGCACTTATATAGGGGGAACATCTTCTTATCTTTATCATCTTCTTATCCTGATGTTGACTTCTTCTCTTCCTTGTCCTCGTCCACCCTTCCAGTCTTCTACCCTAAACCGGTCTACCCCCTGACAATAAGTACAACGGAGCACATGTGAATTAGCGGAGCTCCGCCCAGGGAGCGGGACACGCACCAGAGGTGGGCGATGCCGCGAGCAAAACTTCCTAAGCCGTTAAGAAATGAGCAAAGCTGAGGGATTGATCAACAGACGGATTGAAGGAGACTCACTGGCGTCGGTTCTCGCGGTAAGCGGTATTTCCCACACAAGTTCTTCATAACTCGGTATGCGTGCTGGGTATGCACAAATATAGCAGAGATTTTTTTCAATCCGGATTTCGAACCCGTGAACACGCGCGTGCGAAGTGCGGCACTTGCCACTACACACCTACGCCTGAAATGCAAGATACTTCTAAGAAACAAATATACTCTGTCCAGCGCGGGAAAAAATTGGTTAGGGGTAATAGAAGAAGTGGCAAGATCCTAGATGTTGGCAAAGATGGCACTAAATGGCCGGTGATTAGATCAAGGATTCACTACTTTTTCTGAAGACGTCTTTGATTGGCAAAATCGCTCTACATATGAAAACATCATCAGTACTAAATTCATGAAATCATTAATATCACTTACTATACTTGATGATCTTCCTTAATTGTCCCGAGCATTGTAGTTGAGGGAAAATCACACATAATTGTTAGTATATCATGGAATTAGGATGGTGTTGGTGTTATTCCGTGTCACAAGTGATGCGAATTGTTAACCAAGCATTTAGAGGGATGGAGCACCGGGATGGGCCAGTTTTCAGTTATCGCCCGAGGTGATCTTCTCTAGCATCCCGGTGCTCCTATATCAACTTTGTGATGTGTGCCTCCTCCTCGTCCCCTTCCCCTCCCAACAACATTTTCATCTTATAATCTGCTGCTGAAAATTGGAAGGCATGGAATAGGCAATTGGCGGGCGGTAGATCATTAAGTGAAATAGCTAGTGGGAGTGGGAACCCCATTCTATGAAATAAACGTTAACGACAATACTCCTTTAGGCTATGTGATATCGCTCGGTACTTACTGTTGGGCCTCACGATCTTCTGCCGTACACACCGCAGTGTGCACTATGAATTACAAGCATTTTTGCCTGGATGTCTCCATGAGTCGTAGGGATGAGGGGCACTAAACAGTCCCTTCACTACTGATCTCAGTTCGCGTTTGATAGTGGATTTTCCTTATCTGTTAGGGAATGTAATGGCTCAAAGAAAAAGTGGAATATCGATAGATGGGATTGGTTGTTTCGCGTGAAGCTCGATTTGTAGATGTACTCAAAGTTGCTAGCGTACCTTTCTTCGCTCTGTTCGTAATACCGTACCTCTTGCATCACTTCGGGTTGTGTCCTTTAAAATATTTCCATCGAGTTGTCCTTCGAAGCTAAATAGAATTCGTTCCTTTATATCACTTTCTTGCTTCGCTTCTTTCAACCATAGGGTATATTACTTCCAGTGATTTCTTTCTTTAACCGCGATCATATTACATTGTTCCTTTTAGGCGTTTTAGAGGTTTAAAGTTACTCGGAAACCACCGACTTCTATAATGACAGCAGGTGACCACTCAATTCATTTTTAACGTTATCAAGAATTGGCACAGGATATTGCTGTTGCAATTATG